ATATATATATATATATATATATATATATATATATATATATATATATAAATATATAAAAAAAACATTGTAACTTTACATAAATGTCAACCCGAATTGACTCTGCTTTATGTTCTTAGGACTCTTGCTTTATTCAAACTTTTATCTGATCGTCCAAATGATCTTATGTTTTTATTTTAACCTCCAGGATTGACTGAAATCCCGGAACAAGATGGGTGAGAGATCTAATTTTACACATTTAACTGTGTATTTGTATGATTTATATCCTTACTTTATACTAGTTTGTTGATATGCAGTTAAATCTGTTCTTCAGTTTAAGAACTGAGGTCTAAAGCATGCAAACTTTCTTAAAATGTATTTGCAACAGTGTGGCATTTAGATTGCATTTTTGAGATTATCAGGTTTTTTGGGTGATTGATAGATGGCGAGGAGCGGACCTACGGTGGCTGTGAAGGGCCAGATGCCATGTATGTGAAGTTGATCTCTTCAGATGGCCATGAATTCATCGTGAAGAGAGAACATGCCCTGACGTCTGGAACCATCAAAGCCATGTTAAGTGGGCCAGGTGAGGATTCAGAAAATATAACTCGATAATAATAATGCAATTCAGAAGACGTAATTGTCATTGTGGTAGTTGCTGAAACGATTGATTTACAGCTTAGATTTAGAAAAATTAATTTGGTGTTTGTAGCCTTTTTATATATATTTATTGACACTTCTAGAATAAATTTGTTGCTTTTTGGCAGTGATTTGAAAGTGTTTTTTCTCTTCAGACTGCTGGACTACTTAGATATTTTCTAAATATTAGTATTAGTATTTGGAACTACAAAAATAGACATTTGTAATTTGACCAATTATGTCTGTTCTCAAAAAACACTGTTTGAACCGAAAGCTTGTACCTGTAGGTAAAGTTTTAAATTCTTAATCATTAATGGTTTGATTTCAGCTAACTGAAAGACTGAAAATATAATTTACTTGTTGAAGTGTGAAAATGTGTCGGATTGTTAAATTTACTGAGAACAACTTGTGGGCACTATGTGGGCAAGATGGGCACCAACTCTCCTACCACCCTGCATGGTAAAGTAAATTTGTGAATGCAGCACCAAACAGTTTTTGACACTCGATTTGATTTTTTTTTCCTAAATGCATTCAGTGCTGTCCACTTAGGGATCATCCATCCATTATCTTTTACCTGCTTCTTCCTTTTCGGGTCATGGGGAACACTGGTGCCCATATGCAGCTATCACTGTGCTGGTTGCAAGTCCATCACAGGGACACAGCTGACTTCAGGCCCAGGCCTCCCTTGCAAAAGAGATCTGTGATCTCAGTGGGATTTGCCTGGTTAAATAAAGGTAAAAAAAATGGAGTCAAACGAGACAAACAGCCATTCACTTTCTCACTCACACCTAGGGGCAATTTAGAGCTACCAATCAGCCTAACATGCATGTTTTTGGTCTGTGGGAGGAAACCGGAGTACCTGGAGAAAACGCACGCATGCACAGAGAGAACATGCAAACTCCACTCAGAAAGGCCCCCGGACCGGGATTTTACCCGGAGACCTCTTGCTAAGATGCAACAGCTCTACCAACTGAGCCATGTGCCATCCTCTAGGGGTTATGTCCTTGTTAAATATAATTCTATATGACAACTTTATAACTAGACGGTTTATAGTATGTTTTTTTTGGTAACAATGAAATAGAATTTTTATTATTTTTTTGCTTTGTTTTTTTAAACGTGTACATTTAACCTGATCAGTTGCTTCCTTGTCTTGTTTCAACAGTTTTACTTATTTCTTTAATTAATTAGTCACAATCTAAACATGTTCAAGGTATTCTGCAAACTGCTGCACACTATTTTCTTGTCTTCTGGTACCCGTTTATACAATTTTTTTTTAAACCATAGAATTGCTAAATTCTTTTGAAAACAATAACTTAGTTTTAATATTCAATGCTTTGTGAGTTTATTTATCTCTTTTACTATTTTTAGGTAATAATTGAATTAAGATTGTCATTTTGTTGTGGAGCAATGTTTTTGACAAATTTTTGATAATAAATATAGTGATGAACTACAGATGAGTGCTGAAAAGATCTACTTTAATGAACAAAAAACTATGAAACTCCCTGAAATCTGTTTCACCCATTTACCTGCAGGACAGTTCGCTGAAAATGAAACCAACGAAGTGAACTTCAGGGAAATACCGTCTCATGTCCTGTCCAAGGTCTGCATGTATTTCACCTACAAGGTCCGCTACACCAACAGCTCCACAGAAATCCCCGAATTCCCCATCGCTCCTGAGATCGCACTGGAACTGCTCATGGCTGCAAACTTCTTGGATTGCTAAAGTTTCAAAACGAATGTAAAATTTAAAACTGGTTCTTGAGTATTTAACATTTGTTTTGCCATATATTTCACGTGACACTTTTTTTTTTTTTTTTTTTTGGTTTCTGCTTCTTGTATATGTCAAAATTGACTTAGTATTACAAAATATGCCATTTTAAAAAGGCAGGAAAGCTGGAGATAACTCCACAAACATCCTCACATCTTCATCCTAATAAAGACTTAAATGGTGAGCACTTTGTTTTTATTGTCTGTTGCTCCTGATGAAATACAGGCATCTTAAATGATACATTTACACCAAACATACTTAAATGACAAATGAAAAGTTGGCAGATATATGTGTAAAATACATTAATTAGTATTTGTCCCACATCATTTATAAGGTTGCATAAATTGTAAAAAAAAAAAAGTTTCAATGTGGAAAGTTATGGTGGATTGCCCAATTTGTGTAGGTTTAATTGTTTTAAAGCATGGTGGTGTATTTTCAGCTACAAATGTAATTTGTGTCCCCTATAGTAACAATCTGAGAGAATTTTAAAGTTTATTGGCCTTTGGTTGCGTTATTTTGCTCAGGGTGTGTTTGCTTTTAAGAAAAGCAAGTACTGTTCAGTTTGCAACAAATTCTCAACTTAAGAATGAAACTGAACTTCGATCACATTGTACTTCAGTGCTTAGTACTTTTGAATGTAGTGAATTTGTTTAAGGTGAAAAATACAAAGCATTTTTATTTGATTGCTGACAGTTTTATACTTCAGATTGATTTGATCGGTCCGGTGACAGCTTGTATCTCATCTCATTTGAAGCAGGAAATTTTGATTAAAAGTAAAAAAAATCCACATAGGTTAAGAAACTTCACAACTACTCAGTGCTGTGTTAATCAAAAATGTCCAAATTATAAATGACCCTTTGACTTGGAAGATGTGAGACAGGCAAATCTTTATAATGAGATTTGCGCACAAGGGTGGTTTGAATGTTTGAGTAGAGCTGCTGCTTCTCCACATCGAGAGGAGCCAGTTGAGGTGGCTCGGGCATCTGGTTAGGATGCCTCCTGGATAAGCGGAAGAGAATGGATGGATGGGTTGTTTGAACTCAAATGGAATCCAAGATACCAAACTTCTATGATAGCCACTTGTATAAAGTTACTTTCAGTCAGGAGCTTTCTCATATACAGGCAGACATGGGTAAAAAAAAAAAAAATCTGGGTAATTGACTTGCTGCATAACAAAATAGTACAAATTAAAATATCTTACATCACAGTCTCTACTTGGTCTACTAAAGAAATTAAGTCAGTAAAATGTACGGTTGTCCTGCAAACCACAACTACAAATTAAAAACTTACATTGTGGTTTGCGCTTCAGGGCCACCGTCAAAAGGTGACCTGGGTGTTGGCCCCTCCCACTTACGTCTGTTGCGAAATTATCAGTCAAAACAACCTTCTTTGGTCACGTGACCTCATGACGTAGCATCCTCCTCTGCGCTGATGCAGGAGGAGGGGTTTCCAATATGGCGTCGATGCAGGTAAGAGTACAACCGACAGCGAGCACATATTTATCATTTATCGGATCTCTCGTTTGCTGTAACTTTTGCCGTTTGTGAACTATTGTGTTTACCTGTACGTATTGGTTGAAAAGCCGCCATGACACGAAGGTTAAAGCCGTGACGTGACATTAAACCTCAGCTTTAGCGCGAGCAGCACAACTAGCCCCATCATCATCATCAACGGCAAACCGAGGCTGGAGAGAAAACTAGCTTCTTAAAACTAGCTTCATGTTGGGCTTTGTTTTATGAGAACGGGGATGATAATCCAAGGGATGTGATTTTAAATATCTAAAAATGTCGGTGTTGCTGTTTTGGCCGACGTTACCGCATCCAGCTAACGCGACGCTGCGCAGATAAGAGCAGCTACTGTTTCCTGTCGACCTGAACAGGTGTTCCATTAAAAAGCTGTCTCGAAAACAAGACAGCTTCCCCTCAAACTCCCAAGTAAGAACAAAATGACCTCAAATGTCCTGAACTCACTTATAAAAACAATCTATTAATAATAAAAAAAAACATTATTAATGTGCTGTTTGGCTGTTTTCAGTAAATAAAGTCAAAATAAAGCTTAAATGAAAAGGAAAAAATGCTGCATAAGAAATTATATAAAGCTCATGAAAAAAGTACAATTTTAAGACCTCTTGCATTTATTTAATTGCCCTGCCACTCCGTTTTAAAAGACAAGTTTGGAAATGCAAATATTTGATCTTTTTTTTTTTTTACTAAATTCTGTTGCATTTTAATGCTTTTATTGATTATCTTTTTATGGAAATGATGGAATAAGTTGGCATTTTTTTCCCTCTTCGTTTGTTCGACTTCACAGAAATGTTAAATTATGTTTACTATATTTTAGCATGCTTTAACAGCATCGTGAACATTAAAACCATATCTCTCCAACAGAAAAGGCTACAAAAGGAATTGTTAGCCCTGCAAAATGATCCACCCCCAGGAATGACGCTCAATGAGAAAAGTGTACAGAACACCATCACGCAGTGAGTACTTCTGTTTTATTGGAGCACCATCATTCCAGTCTGACGTGATCACTGATAAAAGATGGCTTCTGTGAGCAAATACCAGTATCTGTGAAAAGGTGTGTTTTGAGCATGTGATAAAGGTTGCTAGTGCTACAGTTTCACTTGAAGGTAAGACAAAGCCCCTGTAGTGAGGAAGAATTTGGGTCATTCCTTTGACTGGCAGTCCGGGCCCCTCAGAAGCGAGTAATGCACAGTGTCACTATTCCCCCCTTATAAAATATTTAAAGGCTAGCATGAAGTAGCTGAGCTTAAGTAACAAGGAACGCAGGCTGCTTTTCTGATTTTGGCCTTCGTTTAAAGCCACATCATTGTTTCGGTGTGTTTTGATTTTCTAGTCGTCATTCAGATTGTTGTTTTTTCTACTTTGAACATTGTGACCTTGCACACTGCCTTCCAGCATCATTGCTGCACTATGGTGCTGCCTCCAAAAGGCAGTGTATTACCTGGTAATATCAGTAAATCAGATTTCAAGAATTGATTAAATACATTCCCATCGTCCTCATTCCAAAACGGTCGCCTGGGCAACGAAGGCAATGATTGTTGCGCATGGCTGACGAGTCTCCCGACCAGTTCAGCTAGCTTCTGTGATCAGGTTTTCGATGGTATGTGTGGGTGTGCCTTTTTCTGTTCGACTCTCAAGGTCTGGCTTAGAGCTGGATTTCAGGTATAGTGATTGACAGCTGTAGAGATTTGCCCTTCAGCCCTTCTTTTTCTGCTTTACAGTGATTATGACCTTATCCAAAAAGGAAAACCAAAACAACCCACTGGTGACTGCCATGTGGCGACAATAAGATGACGATGAGTCAGTTTTGATCATTTTGTTTATTATAGTACAGCCTGACTCTCTGCTGTTCATTAGATTATGATTTGATAATGAGCCAAGCTTATAAATAAGAAAACCACTGCTTTTAAACACTGTTGTCTCTCTCATATAGCATATTTACACAGTTTGACCTTTTTATTTTCCTTCTCTAATGGATCTATTGTTAGCTTTGTTGCCTGAGTCATAGAATCAGCAGGTTATGGAGGACACTGGACACTTTGAGATTTTGTCCTAGGCTATTCTGTGTGGATTATATCAGGATTCATGCTTTTATCTAAAGTTTTAACAGGCTCCTTTCTCACAAAAGTCATCAAAGACTGACATTTGCACTCACTGACTGACTGACATTTCCTAATCTCGTCGTGCTTTTTAGTTTTATGTTAAAAACAAATAAGCGAACGTGGTCTGCTGTCGACCCCATTTAGTCACCTTCAAGTCTACTTTGAGAAGACAAAAACCTCACACAGGTTTTTCTCTGGACATTCAGTTTGTTTGGCCTTAAACTACATTTAACCTTTATGTTAGAAAAACGCTGAATTGTGGCAGGTAGCACTGTGTGCTTTTCTTTTTGCGACCATTACATCAGGATTGAATTGCTACCAGCACAGGATTGTAGCTGGGCGACTGAAGCAAAAATAGATTTTATCCACCAAATCAATGAAGTATCACATTATTACCAAAGCACTGTCAAAACCCCGTCGAATATTGAATGTCACTGGAGTCAGACAGAGAGCTTTTGGTTCCAGTTATTGCAGAGTTGGCAGCACACTTTATGTGACCTTTTTCGTTTTATTTTATTTTTTTCTTAACAACAAAACCCCCTACTTTACTCTGGTTGAGGTGACCGTTTGATTTAAAACCAATAAATCCTCACTTGAATGTCTTGTATTTAAATCTAAGACGAAGCTCAGAGCTAATAAAAAGACATTTATTTTTGTAAATCGAAAACTTTGTATAACTATAGCAGAGAATCCATCCATCCATTATCTTTTATGCGCTTCTTCCATTTTGGGTCACGGGGGTCGCTGGTGCCATGTCCATCAATCACTGTGCGAGGGGCGGGGTACACCCTGGACAGGTCGTAAGTCCATCACAGGGAGACAAATGAGACAAACAACCATTCACTCTCTCAGTCACCTAGGGACAATTTAGAGTTACCAATCAGCCTAACATGCATGTTTTTGGTCTGTGGGAGGAAAGCAGAGTACCTGGAGAAAACCCACGCATGCACGGAGAGAACATGCAAACTCCACCCAGAAAGGCACCTGGTTTGAACCAGGGACCTGCTCACTGAGAGGCAGCAGCTCTACCAGTTGCGCCACCGTGCTGCTATAGTAGAGAATGTTTTGCATAAAAGAAGAGGATTAAAATTAAAATCATAAGTGAACACCTTCATCTTCAGAATAGAGATAAAAAGTTGTTTTAAAAATATGAGCCTTTTTTTCACTCGAACCTTCCCCATTGAATCGTGTATTTTCCAGGGATGCACGATCCACTTTTTTCCACTTCCGATACCGATACAGATATCTGAGGTTTAGTGTCGGTCGATGCCGATCTGATACAGAGAAACTGTGCAACTAGCTGGATTGTACATGCAACGCAGCCGACGCTATGCACCCCCAGGTTGTCCATCGCTTTTCTCATGTTGCTGGTGTTCCTCAGAATCTCATAGATTTTGCTCAATGGAATTTGCCACTTGTCAAACCTTTCCTTCAGACTAGCTGCTTCGCTGGTGTGACCCATGAAAGTTTGCTGCATTTAACTTTGCACTGTGTGGCACAAAACTCATCCAGCCAGTGCGCTGTTAAACTTAAAAGTGACACGGGGGAAACGTCAGAGCTCCAGATGTCTGTCGTGAAACTTATCGCTTTGACATCTTTTATCTCCTCCAATATGTGTTTGCACACTTTCCCGTGCAGTTCACGTAGCGCCGTCTCCGACAAATATTTTCGGCTTACCTTGTCGTAGCGTGGCTCCAGGTGGTTAATTAGTAGCTGGAATCTCTTACCCCAACAATTGAGAGCAGCTTTCCATCCATGACAATGAAGTTCAGTATCCTTCCAGTGATTTTTGCTTCCTGTACACTATTAGGTGGAAACTTTTCACCACTTCCCTTCATCTCCTTCAAAGTTATCTGCTTCATGCCACCTCCTTTCTGTTGATTCCGTTCAACGAACTTGGCGTGCTCTTTAGGGTGAAATCTCTGGAGCTGCTTGATTAATGAAGTTGGTAGTGTTATAGCTGGAAGTTTTAGTGCCAACCCTTGGAACAGTCGCTGCACACTTACCGTATTTTCTGCCGTACATGTCGCACTGCCCGATAAGTCGCATCAGCCCAAATATGTGTAATAAAGTAGAAAAATCCATAAATGCGTTACTTCACCGTATACGCTGCATCTATTATATGTCACCGCTGAAATGGTGGCTGCGGGAGCATACACGTGAGGACTTTAACAAGAATTTAATAAGATTAACACTTAAAAACAATTATTTGTTTGCTCGACATTATAGCAAAGGTGTGTCTCAATTGAACTTTGACTTAATAAATGCACTGAGCTGCATTTTGCCAGGGTGGTTCAGTGAAATGAAGCTGATTTGACTGTTGTTCCAAACGAGCTGGACAAAGGTGGAAGTATGGCAAGCCGATTGCCTCATTAACAGCCACTTTTACCTATTATATGACACAACTGCATGCCATACTGCTCTGGTGCCATCTAGCTGCTGAAAATGGTAGTGTTCAATATTTTCAGTCAGAATGAATGAAAACGGTCATATTGCAGCCAAAATTTGGTTTATAAATATGGGAAAAATCCATAAATAGATCGCTTAGGCATATAATTAGTAGGGCATGCAAATTATGCAAAAAAACCATGACTTATGCAGCAAAAATATGGTATTGCACGTAGCTGTCGAATGTGTTGGCTGAGGTAGTGTGAAATGGTTCCAGATGGCTGATACTTTCGCTCGCTCCATTTTGAAAACGATCTGTTCTGTGAGTTCGCCAAGGCATGACGTCACTCAGAGCACAAAGCATAGACTTAGACTGAATAGATCTGCCCTTGTGGATTGGTCACATTGTCACTGATACCCGATCAAGAAATTTTTTAAATGTCGGGGCTGATACCGATATTAATATCAGATCGGTGCATCTCTAATATTTTCAAGTTGAACACTTTGACAAATTAACGTAGGAGATGGAACGAGTGCAGCCTTTTCTAGACCTAATCAGAAGTTTCTGGTTCCAATTTAAGTCTGCCTTGAGAATTTATTTATTTTTTGTTAATGCATCTGCAATTATAAGTGACTATTTAAAAGTGAAGTGCTTTGGGTTACTGTGCAGAAATACCGGTATGAAAAACAGCCTTTTTTTGTCAGTATTTGATGTTTTTAGTTTACGTGTTTAAAAAATAACTAGTAGTAATCACATTTTCCAAGCTGTCATCAGTCTCAGCCGGTCAAGCTGAAAATTATTCATTTTCAGTCACCAGCTAAGCTTCCAAAATATTGTATCTGTAGCTTGTTGTACTCTTCTAATCAGTTTGTTGTTTTTAATCTGTGGCTCTGAGTGTTTGGATAGGTTAAGGCAGGCGTGATGCACTTTGTGAATCAGGAAGAAAGGCAGGCTTTTTCTGTTGACCTGATCTGTAATCAATTACCAAGTAAGTCAGGAACTAAAGATGAACTTTATGGTCACTCACACACTGACGTGTGTTGAAAGCGGCTGTAAAGCAGGGCTATTCAACTAAACTGCTCAGGGGGCCACAGTTACTGAAAGCCAGCAGCTCAGCTGGACATTCAGCATTTAAGTCATTATGTAAATAAACCAAGTATTACAATAATCAGTTACCTTTTTAAACTTGTTTATTTTATTGCATTGAATCATAAATGCAATAAACAGAACCAAGTTATGCGATTCAAATAAATTATATTTCAAAAATTATTTTCTTGCAAGAAAAGTATCAATATTCTTATTAACAATATTAAAAACAAAACCGATATATTATGCCTCCTGTTTATTATTCTGCCATCTCGGATTTGCCAAACCTTTACACAGTTGTATTTTTATTTATCTTATTTTTGATGCTACAGGGGACAGAGTTATGAAAACTGACACCAGACTAGACGATGTTAATGAGAGAAATTGCACGTCTCCGACTGGACAATGGCAGAAAAGTCAGGTTCAAAAGATGCAAGAGCGATCTGCAAGCAGTGATGCAGGCGTTCATTTGTTAAGGAGGAGCGAGCACTGTTTTTATGACAGTGGAGGGATTTCATCCGTGGTGCCACGCCGACAGCACAAAGATTTTTTGCAGGCGAACGCCCGAACCAGGTGGAAAAGTCAGATCGAAGCCACAGCGTTTGTTTAAAAAATGCCTCCGCAGGTTGTAATCCTTCGCCACGGCGCTGCACTCGTTGCAGAGCAGACACATAAGCGTGCCTTCAGCAGTTTCACTAAAAACATGTATCTGTCCACTCACTGTTGACTTTATGATTATTGATGTCAAGTTTTTTTAGCTTTGCGAGTGACATCGCGTTGCCACGTTTTCTAACTATCATACTTGCTGCTGTACACGTCGCATCAGGCCAAATATGTCTAATAAAGTGGAAAACCCACAAATGTCGCTTCTAACAAGAGTTTAACAAGATTAACACTTAAAAGCAATTAATTGTTTTCTCGAAATTATAGCAAAGGTGTGTCTCACTTTAACTTTTCCTTAATAAATGCACTTTGACGGTAAAATCAGCTGCATTTCAAAAGCCGATTTGCGCCTGTGGGAGCGCACAGAGGGATGGGTCACTGTGCATTTCTTTGAAATGTAACAAGATAACCACCTAAAAACTATTTGTTTGCTCGACATTACAGTAAAGGTGTGTCTCTGTTGAATTTTTCTTTAATAAATGCACTTTAATGGTCAAATTAGCTGCATTTCACCCGGGCAGTGCGGTGAAATGCAGCCGATTTGATGTTTGCTCCAGGAGTTCCGGAGCGAGACGAAGGTGGCTTGGTATGGCAAGCCAAGTGTCTCATTAATAGCCACTTTTACCTATTAATGAGACACTTGGCTTGCCTTATGAGTCAAGGGCCCTCTAGTGGCTGAAAATGGTAGTGTTCAAGATTTCCCATGTCAGAATGAATGACATCACCAGATCTCAGCCAAAAATTGGGGAAAAAAACATAAATGTTGCTTCGCTGTATAAGTGTCAGGCATGCCAATTTGTGCAAAAAACTGCAACTTATACGGCGAAAATTCCTGTACTCCTTATCAATCACTTCAAGCTACAAACACGTCATTAGTCGGGAGTGTCTAGACGTCAGGAATACTAAATGATGATCGGCTGCTCCAACTGAGTGCCCCCGGATCATAGTCTATATAAGAGGATCACATTTCTGATGAAAATGAAAAACAAACCTGAGAAGAAAACTTGATTTCCTGTAGATATTTAGTAGTTACTTAAGGTTTAGTTTAGCCTGTGGTTCAGGTATCCTGTAGTTCTCTTTGGGTGAATGAAAGAATGCTATAATCAATTTGAAATGAGATGTTAAACATTTATATATTTTATTTTGCCTCTTTTTTTTAGGTGGATTGTAGATATGGAAGGAGCACCTGGCACTCTGTACGAAGGAGAGAAATTTCAGCTGCTTTTCAAATTTAGTAGTCGATATCCTTTCGATTCACCTCAGGTAAGAGGAAGCACAATTACTGCGTGTGTGCGATGTGAAGCTCTTATCTGGACAGATGTTGGTTCATTTTACAGCCTGTTTTGTTTTAATCACATCATGTTTTCTTCCTTCATCATTTGCATTGAACATCTGAGCTACATCTCTAATGTCTCAAACATGAACGCCACATTGTCAGAACAGTCCTGCTGCAGTGCATTGTTGGGACGGTAGTCCCTCGATTATCGCGGGGGTTACGTTCCACACACCCCTGCGATAGGTGAAAAACCGTGAAGAAGGAACACTGTTAATTTTAGTATGTATATGTATTTTAAGGCTTTATAAACCCTTCCCACACCCTTGCAATGTTCTAAGCTCAAACATCATTTTAACAACAGGCTTATTTATATGTTCTGTACAGTAGCTACTGCAACATTTTATATGGGGACTCACCAGCCTTGATCCGGTTCTGATCGGCTCTCTGCAGCCGTTGAGGACCAGACTCTTTTGGAGAGAGCCGGACCTTTGGAGAGCCAGAACAAAACCACACAATGGTCCCGATTGAGTCCAAATATTCCAAAGAAATCCTGGATGTAAAAAGCCTGTGTGAGCTCCGGAGAAGACACCGGACCTCCAAGTAACGCCTCCCCGCTCGAGAGGCTCCCTGAGCTGGCAGGCAGCTCTCAGATTGACTCATCAGGCTGGAAGTAATTCTGGTCCAATTCCCTGTCGGTTCCGTACGGCTCTGCATCCACTGAGCACCAAAGTCACTATGAATAAGGACCAAACTTTTTAGACGGTTTCATATCGGATCAAAACTTTCCCTCCATTTCGTCAGAAAACAGCGGCCGGAAGCACTGTTGGCTTCTGGGTAGTGTAGTTGACTGGCCTTACAGTGTAGGCTTATTGAAATAAAACTACAAAATGTCCAAAGTATTTTTTTTCTCGTTAACTTTTTATCCCATACTACCCCAATCACGTGAGTAATATTAAAGTTGATAATTGTTGGAAAACCACAAAAGAGCGAGTCCGCGAAAGTCGAACCGCGGAATAGCGAGGGACTACTGTACTGTGTTTCATGAAGCAGTGGTTCAGAAAACACTTAGCTGCATGTTGCAGCCCTTATCTTGAACTGGAAGCCATTGTTGTCCTGATAAGTTGGACCATCAGCCCCAAACACAGCAGCTAAATGTTTCAATGACAAACTGGTGATCCTCACTGGTTGAAGTTTTCATTGATGTTGTCAAGTGATTGAACTTGGTTTAAAATACTGACTTTTATTTGCAGACGTTTCCGAGACATTTATTCCCGACATATTTTAATTTTAAAGTGGAAAAACCCAAACGCAGCTCTCAGCTGACCTCGTCTATTTTACATGGGTTGACTAATTATTATTCAGGAAGTGAACTTAGTCTGTTTGAGGTCAGTGAGGGCAAAGTAAGATTTTAGGTCCAACAGTCCAACAAAAAAGGATGCTCACGCTTTAGTAATATAAACCAACACTATAAAATATTGTGTAGAAAGTTAACAACTCTGAACAAGAAAAGGCTAAAGCATATAGTTTTTAATGATAGGTGCAATCCTCAGCGTGCATAAAACGCCTTTCACTTTGTTGGTGTTGGGGTAAATGTTTAAAGGATTTGCAAGCAAAGAACTTGTTTGCTTTGATATTTTAAATATAGTTATCTTTGCTTTCTGTTCATATCTGTGACTCAGCTCTAAGCTTGTACGGTGCCAGACTGCCTGAACTCATTGTTACACTTTTACCCCCCTCCTCCCCCCCTCAGCTGTTTCACTTCAGGCATGACATCCTTTCTGGTATCTTTCCATTCAGCTCTCACTCTTGCACCATTTTAATAGCTACCACTTTCCAGTTTTTTTTTTTATTGTTTTTTTTTAATGTTTGCAGTTTCGTGCCGCCTCTTTTAGTGCGCTGGCCCGTATTTTCCCTTCAAGTCTCCCACCTCATCCTGGCCCCAGACTTGTCCTAATCCCAGCGCCTCATGTAGCCACAGAGAGCTAAGCCTGGGTTCATACAGCAAGTCTCATTATTTTCTGTCATTAATGCAGTGGTTCCCAACCCTGGTCCTTGCGGAACACCATCCTGCATCTTTAGTTAGGGACTGCCTGAAGGCAGCCACCTGTTGTTATCCACCTGAAAGGCTCTTCTATCAACTTTAATGCAGCCTGAACTGCAATATGTACCACAAAAAAAGTTATACTGAAGTGACCGGCTCGGCACCATGACGCGCGCTGTTACTTTTATTGATGTTTAGAGTTACCACGGCGACGTAATTTGCAAAGATGCCATTTTTCTCAGAAAACAGAAAATTGACTAACTCCATCAGCCTTAGAGATATTGAGCTGAAAGTTGGTAAAGTCGTAGCTGAGAGTGAGTTGTTACACATTCCTAATGCAAATCAAAAATCCAAGATGTCTGCCTTAACCAAAAGGGAAAAATATGATAACTTAGCTATTTTAAAATGTATTGATCTGAAATTTGGTGTGGTAGTACTTGACAACATATTCAGGATCCAATTCTAAAAGTTCAACATGGCCGTCAAAGCTAATTTCAACTGGCTATAGCTCAGCCATTTTTAGAGATTTTAAGCTGAAATCTTGTGTACTGGTAGCTGAGAGCAATGCCCAATACATACTGAATTCATATAAAATGTCCAAGATGGCCACCAAAGCTAAACTACATTTAAATGGCTTTAAATCAGCTGTTTTGACACACATAGAGCAAAGATTAGGTGTGATTATAGCCGACAGTGTCCCCCATCACATACTGAATCCAAATCAAAAATCCAAGATGGCCACCATAGCTTAAAAGAAGAAATGGCTATTAATTTGTTTTTCTGTTTTTTTTTTTGTTTTGTTTTTTTTCATATTGAGCTGAAACTTAGTGTGATGATAGCTGAGAGAGAACCCCAACACACAGTACTGTCAAATCAAAGTTAAAAGATGGCCGCCAAGTGGCAGTCCCCTCTTGGTGGCCCAAACAACAGGAAAGTTTCTCTGCTCCAACACACCTGATTCAGTGGTTTAATTACTTCCTCCGGTCCGGTAGAAGCCTGTTAATCACCCGTTCATTCAAATCAGGTGTGTTGGAGCAGAGGAACATTTAAAACGAACAGGGTGGTGTACCTCAGAGACCAGTGTTCTGAACCACTGCATTAATGGAAAAAAAGACTTTTATCCAAAGAAGGTTTTTATTATAAAAGTGCTCTCAGTTTTAGAGTTTTTCTTTCATATCCAGTGATTTGTGTTCATAACGACTCATTGCTGCTGCTGTTGTTTTTCTTGTGCAGGTAATGTTCACAGGAGAGAATATACCTGTCCACCCACATGTGTATAGCAACGGTCACATCTGTTTATCAATTCTGACGGAAGATTGGTCACCAGCCCTCTCAGTGCAATCAGTTTGTCTTAGCATTATCAGCATGTTGTCTAGCTGCAAAGAAAAAGTACGTATGCAGTGCAGTAGAAGAGTTTGTGAAATGTCTGCACTTGTTAAATGATGCGTCCTTTTTTTATTTTTCTGCAGCGACGGCCGCCTGATAACTCGTTTTATGTAAGAACATGTAACAAAAACCCAAAGAAAACAAAATGGTGGTATCACGGTGAGTATTTTCCACACTCTTTGTTTGGATTCAGAGGACACAGATAATTGAACATCTGTATTTTCTCCCCCCGCCCTCCTTTTCACAGATGATACATGCTAATGTACAAACTTTGTAATAACCGTAGAAGAACGAAGTCCTACTGACCTACGTAAAGCACTTTTTATTCATTCAGTCTTTGAACTCTGACCTTTGACTGGAACAATGGAAACCAAGCGCTGAAGGCTCTTGACTGCATTTCCCGAAAGGGGGAGAAGGGGGGTGGGGGGGGGGCAGTTGGCTACATGATTAGTCGGTTGTAACATAGAAAATGAAAATAAACGGACATCTACAAGTACACGAGATGTATCGTTTTTGATTAACGAGGGAGAAAAGGCAGATTTATAGTCAAGACAATTAGAATTCCTGTGTTACAATTATTATTATTATTGTTTTATTTTTGTGTGTGTGGGTGCTTTAAGGTCTTTGTGTTGTGCAATAATGACTGATGGATGCTGGGGCCTACAAAGAGACATGGAAACGTAATCTTCTAGAAGGGATCTGACCATCGAAACCCCAAGAAATGCTTCATCAGTTTTTGTTTTTTCTCCATTATTATTATTGATAATATTATTAAATGCACTGTGAGAGTATCTAGTTTGGAAAGGAACTACTTGTCCGTTGTCCACACCTTGCAGACGTACTGTAAGCAGTCCTCCATCTTATCAGGTTTTTGTTCGTAATTGCCCATTGCACACAGCTTTCTTGTTCTTCAAGCTCGCCCCTGGTGGCAGTTCTTCCTGCTGCTGGACAGAATGTCGGTACAAACGTGGAGAAGGCAGATGAAGCGATAGATGCTGCAGTCATCTGATGACCTCGGTGTGCATCTCCTCCTGAGACTGGGCCCCGGTTAGTCCAGCTTTTTTTTTTTTAAGACGTGCAGCAGCGACCTCTCTTCCATTTAAAGAATGTCAGTACGAGAACATTTGTTGTGGTTTGTTTTATATGTACAATGTATATTTTTTAAATTGACATGCTTTAAATTTGTTTTCCTCTGAAATGTTTGATTTTAAAAATGCCTGTTTTTTTTTTTTTTGACTAGCTGATACTTTGAACGTGGGTTCTTTTTGATGGGTCAGTGTGTTTTTTTTTCTTCTTCTTCTTTCTTTTGTATTTTTTATTTAATTTAAAACCTCCGTGGAGCTCCAGAGCAGCAATGAATGACGAAAAGGCGAGCGTGTGTAGAAGTCTTTTGTGATTCCCCCCCACCATGTCAGAGTTTTGGCTCAGGTACTTTTTTCAATAAAGAGATCACCTCTAAAAAAAAAAAAAAAAATATATTTTGAATTTAACTATATTTTCACCAGAAGAGACTGTTATGTTGACTTGTCTGAAACTAATGTGTATACAAGTCTTTGAAGTGATGGAACTTAACTGGGGGTGCTCTTGGGTTTTTATGTAAAAGACTAAAAGAAACTAGTCAAATCTGATTTTTCTGCTAAATGGGATGTGTACAGTCAAAAACAAACAATTTGGTTATGAAATTCACAGTAGGCATGCATGCAGTTTTAAAACCTTACTCTTTAACGGTTTTTAAAAACTGAGCTCACCCCCAGAGGCTGTGGTCATTTCAAAGATACTTGAAGTTTCCTACTTGGTTTATATGTTGCTTTTCTCCAGTTTTGAATTTAAATTGAGTGATGAATGTGATCTAGAGGAAAATACCACAGCTGTTAAGAATATTTAATGAATGATTATGTTTCTTCCCCCCATCATTGTAATGGACCTGGTCAGTTTGCTGTTACAGAAGCTAAATTAAGTGGTTAAAATATTGTAACGCGCAGACAGAACGGCTTTCTTTCGTCCAGTGGGCAGCAAATCACTTGGTTTTTATTTTTCAGCGTGGTTTGAACTTTTCGCTTGCAGGTTGTCGTGAGAGTGATCAACACAAATGAGGGTGTGTTATTTATATTTGAAATTTTTATTCTGGGATGTGCAAGCTCCATGTAATAGGTGCCTGTTCATTTTCATAATCAATAAAAGCATAATTTCACTTTTATTTAACTTTTGTTTGTGTCTCTCAATTATAGGAGCCTTTTGTATATTTTACTGGAATAAAACTACCAGATCTTAATTGGACAAATAAGATATTTCAGTAATGAGCCCATTCCTGATTGTTTAGAACAGCAGCAGTGTTGTGGTCCATTGGCGCCCTCTACTGGTTAGATAGCAGTACTGCCGTAAAAAGTTCAGGTTCTTTGACCAAATTTTATCTAGTTAAATTTAAAAAGAATGTAAACACTTGCGTAACTACTACCTGCAATCTACCTGATGTCCTGCACAAGATATTTATTTTTTGTTATAATTTAAGGGCCCCTGTACGGAGCCCGAGGGAACGCAAAAAGATAAAAAATCCCCCATGTCCCTTCTGGGGTTCCGTACAACAAATGTAAGATCTCTTCAGCAGCTACAGATTTTTAAAAATTATTTATTGTCACAAACGTGTTACTTTTGAAACATTTGAGGTTTTGTTGACATATATTCTAAACTGTAAAAAAAAACTTGCTGTGAATGTTGGCAAGCAAAACTACAGTACTTAAAAATATTTATTCTTAGCATTTAGTAGTAGGCCTACCGAAATTAATAAAACAAGGTGGGGTGGGTGAGTCGTGTTCATGGGTTACTAAGTCATAATTATTATGAGATAGTATCTCATAATAGTTATGACAGCAGATCCTAATGGAATTAGCTAAGTCATAATTGATTTTTGTGTGTGTGTTTTTTTGTTGTCAAATAGCGTTAAAAAAAAAGTTCAAAATTTGCCACGTGCTTCTCATAAAATAAGAAAGGGGGAAAATAATTACGATTGGGTCTCTGTACTTTTCAAATAATTTATTCTATATAACTGCACAACAAATATTGATATAAATACAAATTAGACATTTGGTTCAATGATTCATTTGTCTTATACGCACCACATGGAACGAAACTGTGTGGGTCCCAGTTACATCCAACGAAAGTATAAAATGTAAAGGAAAAACAGTAATCTAAGATATGAACTAAGAAAAACGTTAACTAAAAATACGCTAAGCACTAAAAGCAATACGCCGAACAGCAGCACGAACATGAGTCTGTGTGAGCAGATGAGTACGAATGAACACAGCAACATGAAACAGATCAGCAGCAACAGGAACTAGATCAGCAGCAACATGAACCAGATCAGCAGCAACATGATGTTCTCTTTCGTCTTCTTCACATGCGAAGGTTGTTCTTCCTGCACCAGTTCTCCAGGTGTTCCACCTCCTGGCTACAAGGTTTAAAAAAAAAATTATTGGTGTTTCTTATTTATTATTACGAACAGTTATACAACAAAAATATAAATACACAAATAGATCCATACAAAAGTGGAGATGTACACAAAAACTTAAAAGGAAGAAAGCCACAAATAAATGATGAATTTGCCACTGTTTATTCCATTTTTAAAAGAGGACGAAGTGTACACTTATTTAATCCTACCCCTCCTCTATAGTTAATATCTCCTTTATCACAGGCAATATTTATCATTGTATTAATACAAGCTAGATATTGTGTGCATATACATAATAAATGTCTAAAACATATGTATACAAAGAATGCATATAAATAACTTATATACAAAAAAATTAAAATAGGTTTCGAAACCCCATGAATATTATGTACAATTACACATATGATTTGATATACATATATATGTGCAATCACAGATACTTGAAGAAAAAATATTATTAATAGACATAATGTAATGGATATAATTACCAATGTGCTTGTCTTTTGTATTAGTCTATATAATAAAAGTATATGGGCACCACATATTGAGATGCTTAGACATAATTATGACATATAATTATTGACTTATTTTAAATTAAAGTGGCACAAATGGTGTTCCATACTTAATAAAGGGTTGAACGGGGGTTTTCAAGCAAAAGTTGGAGCTCCAAGGAAGCTAACCCAGACTGAACCATTTTCATCACGGCGGGGGTGACCGAGTCATTCATTCATTCTGATTCTTACATAGTGATATTACTTTTGGTAATATTTACACTGAAAACCAAATAAAACTTTATATTTATGTATAAGTATAATTATCCGGGATTATTTTCTTTAAGTGAACATAAGTAGTATTTTTTCTTGACCAATAACATGGTATGTTCCCTTCTCCATCCAGTTCTCTTTAGTGTTTGCCAATGTTGGAGGTGTAACTGGGGTCTGGCCCTGGACAAAGGTAAAAAATGCGTTTAAATGTTTGTCCTTTTGTAGTAGGATGCTCACCTGCCCGTATATTAAACTAGGATACCCCGAATTAGCCCAGACGTTTTGTTATAAACGGGTCGATATGGAGATGCTAAAGCAAGACTTGAGGGGTTCTCGGCCGTTCAGCCATGATGAGCCTCAACCGGCTAAAGAACCGCAGCCGAAGGCGGCATAATAAAAATGTATTCATCTAACGAAAGCCCAGGAACACGTTCATGACAACATACGGGCTGATGCATTCTTCAGTTCGGTTTTCAGGGGCTGACATTTGGCGGAAATGCCGTTTTCCTAACGGTACCGTTAGCTTCATGCTAGCTGGACACTGGGCTGCACGGAGCCCTTCAGCCCCAACCTCAGTTCGCTTTTATTTATCTTCTGAACTTGTAGTGGCATTAAACAGTGCTCCCAGTTTGCTGTTATCTCTGTGTTTGTGTGTCTTGGTGAGCCTACAGCAAGAGTTTGAGACGATGTGTTTGAGATACAGACGCGGTTTTGCTTGCAGTGTTTGAATCTCTTTAATAAAAACGCACTATTAGTAACAGTCCCACCATGAATTGTGAGGACACATGTTCTCATTAACTAAAGTACAGCAGAACTTACATTAACATGAAAGCTGTACCCACTTGCCTGTGCTGCTCTATTTAACAAATCCATAACAAATGCACATTTTTTTTGGCAATGCATTCATCACTCATAGGAGTAGTTCTCAAACTTTTGAGCGTCTTTCTCTGTTTCATTCAACCTTTATTTATGCAGGTTAATCCCATTAAGCCTCGAGGACTCATTTACAAGAGAGACCTGATTTCTTAACAAAGAGTGATGGCAACAGTGAATAACTACAACAATAGACCATACCATACCACTTTATTTATAAAGCGCTTAAAACAGCAACAAGGCCAACCAAAGTGCTGTACAGACAGAACAACAGGTAACACACAAAGCAAAATACAAAATGAGGTAAATCAGAATATAGACAAAAACGATGCAGATAATGACGACTAACCAGTGTAGAGCGTACAGGATCAAAACACGGATCATCTTGTGTTGAAAGCTATTGAATAGTAGTGAGTTTTTAAACGGGACTTGAAAACCGAGAGGGAGGGGGCCTGTCTGACAAGCAGAGGTAACTCGTTCCAGAGTCTTGGTCCTGCTACAGAGAAGGCCCTGTCACCTCTGCGCTTAAGACGAGTTCCTGGAACTGTGAGGAGCAACTGGTCCGCTGACCTCTGGGAGCGTGTTGGGACATACGGTTGTAGCAAATCAGAGAGATGGGGGGGGGGGGCACTGTTCAGTGATTTGTAGACATACATGAGTATTTTGAACTGGATTCGAAAGTGAACCGGTAACCAGTGCAATGAGGCCAAAATGGTGTAATGTGCTCTCTTTTGCCTGTACTGGTTAAAAATTGGGCTGCTACATTCTGGACCAGTTGTAGTCGTGCAATGGAGGTCTGACTGATACCAAACAGGAGCGAATTGCAGTAGTCAAGCCTAGATGTAATGAATGCATGTATTACTGTCTCCAGGTTATTTTTGGACAATATGGGCTTCAGTTTAGACAGCCGCCTCAGTTGGAAGAAGCATGATTTAACAATCATGTTTACATGATTGTTAAGCTTCAGGGAAGGGTCCATTATCACGCCCAGATTAGTGACTCTTTGTTTTTCTGACAGGGTTAGAGCGGAAAGGTCGATGCAGTGGTTTGTGATCGTGTCGTTGGGAGGGAACAACATGACTTCAGACTTCTTTTCTTTGAAACTTAAGAAATTTAAAGCCATCCAGTCCCTGATGTCAGCCAGGCAGTTGAGCAGCAGTTGAATAGAGCATGTACCATTGTGTCTTAGGGGGAAGTAAATTTGACAGTCATCGGCATAGAAGTGGAAGGGCATGTTGTGTTTCCGGAAAATAGCACCAAGCGGCAGCAGGTATAAAGAGAATAGGAGGGGACCCAGTATGGACCCCTGCGGAACCCCCCATTTAAGCTCTGCCTCTGCGGAACTAAAATCCTTGATGGAGACACAAAAGGATCTGTCAGTGAGGTAAGATCTGAACCAATTGAGGGCAATAGACAGTCATAAAATAGGCATAGGCATACAAATTTTAGCTTCTGATCCACACAAGAAGACATGCTTTTGTAATCGTAGCTAATAAACTAGGTAAACAACACGAAGCTGCCCTAACAACCGTTATATTGTTTTCCATTCGGTTTATTTATATAGCGCCAACAGAACACATTTCAATACATCTTTGGCTGATGTTATTTCCTCTTGTAACAATGATGTGGAAAATGTTAGCAATGTAGCAATACATTTCTAATTTCTAAAGATTATCTCTAGAACATCAGCTCTCCGAAGTTGCTGATACAATGCAAAGTGCTCCAACAACCATTCGTCCATCTATTCCTTTGCCACATATCCATGGTTTAGTCACAACATGTCCAGGGAGGAAACCCAGATATCCCTCTACCCAACAATCTCCAGCTCCTCCTGGGGGAATTTAAAGCGCTCCCAATCCAGAGAGGATACATGAGCCCTCCAGTAAATTCTGGGTCGGCTTCAGGGTCGCTTCATGCCTGGAAAGCCCCCAGGAGGAGGCATCATACTCGGATGCATGAACTACGTCAGTGAAGATGAGCAGCGCCTCTACTACGCTCCTCACCTCATCTCTGAGGCTGAGCCAGCGTCCATGGCGGAAGCTAATTTCAGTCACTTAAATTCAGGGTCTTGTTCTTTTGGTCATGATCCATATCTCATGATTATAAGTGAGGGTTGGAATGTAGACAGACCAGTAAATTTAGAGCTTTGCCTTTTGACCCAGTTCTTTTCTTCTGGGTAGATGATGAGTTTTTGCCTCAGTCAGAGGAGTTGAAGTATCTCAAGAGTCTTGTTATATAGTGGGAGATAGATCGATGGATCTCATCTGTAGTAATGAGGGTATTGCTTCAGTCTGTTGTGGTGACAACAATCTGATGAAGCGTCCAAGAAAAAGACACCAAAGTCCTGTTTTTTCCTGAGTTCTTTGAACTCTCAGGAAGGGAAACTAATTTCCAATTTTTTTACAGCCCTTGAATGTAAACTAGAATTGTTATTATTTCTTGACAAGATGCATTCTGAGGCTTAATGGGACTAACCTATATAAATAAAGGTTGAATGAATTCAAACACATAGGTGTAATTAGGTGTTACACTGTTTTTTACTCCCTCTTTATGCTTTGTTGATTTTAAAGAGGACATCGCTTATTATATTACTGTACATATATTAGAAACCACAGAATATAACATATGTACGAGCATTCAACAATCTGTTATATTTCCTGATGCATGCTCAATAATCCAGGTAGAAAAATCCAAAAAAGTTAAATCTGGTCCTCTGGACATTCAAAAAAACAAAAGCAAAACAAAGCAAAAAAAAAAAATCTAGAAACGTTTCGTCTCTCATCCAAGAGACTTCCTCAGTCTGAGGTGCTGTTTTCAGCTCAGTCTCTTAAATAGCACCTTCTCAGAGTGGATCAACCAGTTTGCTGCTGACAACCAAAACCAGCTGATCACATGCTCAAGAAGGACCATCAGCCTAACAATGGGTCATTAGCACCCTGATGGCTGTTTACTGTTCACAGAGGGCTGAGTGATACTAGCAATCACAGCATTGTAAGAGGGGGACAGTTGAACCCGGAGGCCTCCACCCCTGTTTAATGATGGACGGTTTCTTTTCACAAAGATGGCCTCCTTTACTCCTCTCTCAAACCATCGTTCCTCTCTGTCCAGGATGTGAACATCTTCATCCCTGAAAGAGTGACCGCTGGCCTGGAGATGAGTGTAGACCTCAGAGTCCTGGCCTGATGGTGTTGCTCTTCTGTGCTGGGCCATCCTTTTGGCCAGTGGCTGTTTAGTTTCCCCGATCAGTTACCATCAAGCCAGGACTCTGCTGTCTACACTCATCTGCAAGCCAGGGGTCACCAACTTTGTGAAAAGAACCCGTCCATTGTTAAACAGGGGCGGAGGCCTTCATGTTAAATTGTCCCCCTCTTACAATGTTGTTATTGCTAGTATCACTCAGCCCTCTGTGAATAGCAAGCGGCCATCAGGGCACTAACGACCAATTGTTAGGCTGATGGTCCTTCTTTATCATGTGAACAGCTAGTTCTGGATGTCAACAACAAACTGGGTGATCCACCGTGAGAAGGTGCTATTTATAAGACTGAGTTTGTTGCAGCTATTCAGACTGAAGAAGTCTTTTGGATTAAAGACGAAACGTTTCAACAAGAAGAATCCGTCCAGAGGACCTGACTTAAATTAACTTTGTTATATTTTTCTACCAGGTTTGTTGAGCCTGCATCAGGTTAAATTGAATTTCGCCTTCATTTTCCACTGTCTGGGCTTACTTAGGACTGTCATGACAAGTACAGTCTTTCTTTTTTATTTGGCAATAGTTTGTTTTACAATTACTGGTAATTTAGATAAACTGTCCATTTGTATGTACGGTGCCAATATAGTTTAAGCCTACTGCTAATTTACAGCTCACATACCCTGTAGAAGATATGTGTTTTGCTTTGTCAGTCTTACTGTATGTTGGTCAAAATGATGGAAGTATGACATTTCTGGTTGTTTCATCCAGTTTTGTTGAATCAAGACAAGCATGCAGACATTTATCCCAACTGTGACAGATCTGTTGGTAATGTAAACCTTTGCCATCTCATAGTTGTTCCCTGTGCCTGTCCTTAATCAGAAATAAAGTGTCAATAAATGGTCATTGTCTTGTGGAGGGGGTACTCTCACAGGCTACCTCCTCTTTTCCTGCGTGTTTGGCAGCAGTAACACGAGTAAAGCTCCTTCAAATAAAGCCTCATTGTTTGGGTGTAGTAACGACCAGTGGATCAGAATGTGAGATAGGCCTGGAGCTGTTCACTTTGGACTCTGATCTCCAGCCTTAGAGCATAGTCTGTGAAGAATATCTGGAAAAACTCAAGTTGTGTTCTAAAAAGTAGAGCTATGCATTAACTTTTAAAGGGTAAGCTTACAGTGGTTTCATTGTGTTAAAGTGGTTGGTAACTGTTGTCCACATGGCCAAAGAGTTTTTCTAATAAACTTTAAAACAGTGGTTATTATTATTAATTGTCATTTGTTTACAGGAATAGAGCATGGCTCAAGTGAAAGTACAGACCGCAGCACCCTTGTCTGGTCCTGGCCTCACCCCTGGAGTTCCCCCGGCAGCCATGGCCAGCTCAGGATCCCTGGGTCTGCAGTCCACCGTCAACGGCACAGGCCCGGCCCCCACACCCGCCTGCCCCGCTCCTGCAGTCGGATATGGGGACGACCCTGTGTCTGCCTCGCCTCCAGGTAGAACATTATTACCACAAACTGAAAAACTCAATGTAATATATCACAATTGCGTGTGTTTCTAATATTTTGCAAATATACTGCGTTTCTTCACCGATTTTTTTTATTTGGAAGTGACTCAGGTGATTCATAATGGACATAGCTGTGTCTGTATTTATGCTTCCAACACTAACGTAAAGGTTTTACAGTCATATTTTGGCCATTATTAGTACATGAGGCTTGTAGATGAACAGATGCTCAGATATATTCATCAATTAACGCGGATTCCTCATTTTTCTGAACTGAATAATACGTGCATTGAATTTAATGAAATGCAAACGTGAGACGTCATTTATATTTGACCCATCAAAATGAATGCGGTCATTTATTTACAGAATCAAAGTTTAACATCAAACATTTACATTAATTTGGCAAATTATGAAAATAACAACATAAGCAATCAATCAGGAAAAATCATACGGCCATGATTTTTCCGTTGCTTCACCACAGACATTTATGAAAACTGTACAACTATGATCTTTTACCCACACGGATGTGGATGAGCACTTTACACAGACATTTCTAAAATATCTGGAAGAATTTCTACTTGAGAGAAAAGTTTAAAGATGGGAAAGAAGTTAAAGGGAGTAAAGATGGTATGTGAGGGGAAGTGTTCACCAGAACCGACACTCTCCATCAGAACCCAGCTCACCTCGGTACGCTTGGTAGGAAACTTGACTCATTACCTTTCTGAGATTAATCAGCAGATATGGAGTTCCGTTAACGCTACCTGTCCAGCGTCTCCTTAGGATGGCTGTAGCTCGTCAGAAGTAGTGGCGAGTGGAAAGTGTTATATTCCCATGACTCGGAAGAGCTCTGTTGTCATGTCAGGATCTTCCCGGCTCCCAGAACTGGGCTTCTCCGCACAGAACTGAACAGAACTGAACTCAACCGAACCGAGTGGAACCCTCACAGCACTCCAGCAGAACTGAGTAGTTTACAGATCTCGAGCAGAGCTGAGCCGACCAGGAAGTACCGACAATTTAAAGAGCCCTTTTCCCGGTTCATACGGGAGTCTTCCATTGGCCAGAACCGACCAGACGGGGTGTGTTTTGTGACGTAAAAGGTTAGAATGCAGCAAGAATTGTTATGGAAAGATCAGAAATGTTCTCACAGACAGAGAGAGTTTTGTTTTGGCGCGTTTCAGAAACAGGTGCCAAAACCTCTATATTTACGTCTGAGAGGATTGCGTTTGACTCCAACCTTGGACCAACTTACACTTGCTCATTCAAAGACAGAAATCAGAAAATGCATACAAATCTGTAACAGACCTCAACATGAATTCTAACTTTGCATGAGAAAAAATCATTACACAGTTAATAAAATTGATTAGTTCACTGCAACATCTAAAATGGTTTGAACTAAGACACTTTGATTATCAACATTTGTAAAATAGTAATGATAATAAAAAAGAGAGTGTTCTTTTCACTTGAATCTTCAAGCAAGAAAGTCTCAGGATGGGTGAACCTGTATTTCTGGATTAAAATCAATAAAATGACAGTTCCTGTCCCACAAGGTTCTTAAGGTCAAGGGTTTTGACCTTAGGCTTAGTCGTGACACCAGATTAAGTTCACTACAGGCTGTTCTCTATCCAAATTTTTGTCATTTTCTAAGTTTGTTGTATTCTGCTCGACTCTGTCCAAGATTCGCCCCAGGAGAACATGGCAAACCCTAAAGAGAAAACTCCAATGTGCTTGGTGAATGAGTTAGCCCGTTTCAACAGGATCCAGCCACAGTACAAGCTCCTCAAAGAGAGAGGTCCTGCACATGCTAAGGTAAATATTTAAGGGTTGTTTAAGCTATAATCATGACACAATAACCAGTAAATATCAGGTATTAACACGTCTTGCGATGTCCAGTGTGCACAACTCCCATCATTCATTTGTTATTTACGTCAGGTGATGTCATGCTCTCTGCATGTCACTGTTTCAGATCTTCACTGTGCAGCTGACTCTTGGGGAGCAGGTGTGGGAGGCAGAGGGGACCAGCATCAAAAAGGCCCAACACTCCACCGCTGCCAAAGCTCTGGCTGAGAGCATCCTTCCCAGGCCAGCACCCCGCTCCCCTAAAGCAGACATGAACAGCAACCCAGGTACTGCAACCACCAAATCCTAATCAAATATAGCCCTATAAATATTGATTTCATATTATTTTCTCTCAGAAGTGAGATTTTTTTTAATTTTTTATTTTCTCATAAAATTGACGCAAGCTGAAGTGGTGAAATAGCTTGTTTGTCTTGAGCATAAATTTAATTTCTGTTTTTAATAGGGATGCACAATTTTGGATTTTTGGCTGATATCCGATATGCCAATATGTTAAAACTTGTTTGCCCAATAACCGATACCAATACCATCCCCCCCCCCCCCCCCCCCACAGAGACTACATAGCTTTCTCTGCTGTGGAATTAAAATACTACA